ATCAGTGAAGGAATGTAAATCTCCCGGTCCGGACGAGATCCCAGCAAAGCTGCTTTTCGAGCTTGCCCGAGAGCTGGCCAAACCACTATCCTTTCTGTGCCAGAAATCGTTCGATGCTGGAGTCCTTCCCACAGACTGGAAGACGGCCCACATTACACCCCTTTACAAAAGCGGTAGTCGTGCTCTTGCAACGAACTACAGACCCGTCAGCCTGGCATCAATCTGCTGCAAATTGATGGAGAAAATCATCAAAAAGGAGTTGATGACTTATCTAGAAAGTCACAATCTCTTGTCCAATGCACAATAGGGTTTCCGTAGGGGAAGATCATGTGTTACGAACTTGCTATACACAATGCAAAGTTGGACAAGAGCGCTGGATGCAAAACACTCTGTGCACGTGGCCTATATTGATTTCCGGAAGGCGTTCGACAGTGTCCCGCACCAACGTCTTCTGCACAAGATGAGAATAATGGGCATCGGCGGCAAACTCCTCAAATGGATCGAGAACTTCCTCGTCGGCCGTTCCCAAACTGTCTGCGTAGAAAGACAGCAATCAAGGCGGACATTCATAGGGAGTGGTGTCCCGCAAGGCTCGGTGTTCGGACCTACCCTCTTTCTCTTGTTCATCAATGATTGTGTAGAAGGGTTGGACTGTGATAATGCCATGTTTGCGGATGACATAAAAATCTGGAAAGTTATCCAGAATGCTGCCGATGAGACCAACTTCCAAGAAAATCTTTGTCGATTGAACGAGTGGTCCCGCAGATGGCTCTTGTCTTTCAATTTGACCAAATGTATCATACTGCGCCTCGGAAATCAGACCCCTAGTACGCGGCAATACCATCTGAACGGAATACCACTTCGAGAAGCAGAAACGCAGAAAGATCTCGGAGTCTGGGTTGCAGACAGCCTTAAGCCTTCTACGCAATGTTGTAAGGCGGCCAAGGCTGCAACTTCAATGCTATATGCCATCAAGCGGGCATTCGCAGTTTTCGATGAAGAGTGCTTCTCCAAAGTCTTCGGCACGTTTGTAAGGCCGCACCTCGAATATGCAATTCAGGCCTGGAGACCATGGACACATCAGGATTACAATCTGCTCGAAAGGGTGCAGAGGCGAGCCACAAAATTAGTAAGAGCTCAAAGTGCACTGCCATACGATATCCGCTTAACTAACCTTAATCTCTATCCTCTGAGTTAGAGGCAGTTGCGGGGAGACTTGATACAAACTTTCCGTATCGTGCGTGGCTTGGACTGCGCCCTTCGGTGCGATGAGTTTTTCCAACGCGCCACAACAACTAACCTCCGGGGACATCCCTTCAAGCTACGTGTGCCCCAGGGTAGATTGAATGTGAGAAAATATTTCTTCTCCAACCGTGTCGTGGAACCGTGGAATAATCTGCCCGAGACGGTTGTCATGTCTGAATCTGTGGCGACATTTAAATGTAGGCTTGACAAACATATGTTACAGCACCAAGCGGACTATGTGACTTCTTAGCCATGAGACCAGTGACATACGTGAATCAATGCATGCATACACTTACTGCTGTAATTTCTTAACATTCTGCTAGTTTATCGATTTTTTATGTACAAATAGGGAGTTCAAAGGCGTAAGCCTATTCCCCTCAAATACACTGACTGACTGACTGACTGAAAGCGAACAAAAGAAAGGGACTAGTTCGCGTTCAGTAATGAGGCGTTTTGCAATGAAAACATCAAACACCCCTGTCTTGTTAGTGTGATCGATGATGAAGGTTCTGTTATCGTTTAGCAGGGGTGAAATTTCGTGACCACGCTTGGAAGGTGCTTAAAGGCGAAACATTTTAGCGACCGACTTGGCAGGGATCTGATCGAAAAGAGCAACTGGTCGCTATCAAAGAGGTCCTTCTTGAAAACAACAAAAAGAGAAGCAATTTCATTGGTAAAGTTTAGATCTAAAATGGGATTATCCCTTGTTGGAGAACGCACCAGTTCAGACCTGTGGGAAAGGAATAAAGTTGATGGTTTTTATGGTTTGGAGGGTTCAAGAGAAAAACAAACTGTTGGCGACAAACTTTTGAGCGTCAAGAAGGGAGGGGCTGCACGGTATCGGATAATATCAGTCGCCAATTTCTATCATGAATTTGGGGCTAGTCCAAATAGAAGCACCGAAGGATATCTGTCGCTGTTTGCCAAAGAAATTTTCCCTGGTGAAACTGGCCATAGTGGTCAGAGACGGTAGAGTCGATCAGAGGTGTCAGCACCCAAAATTTGTGTGAGCTTTTCATAAACTCTCGACCCCTCCCTTCTTGACGGTGTGGACTTCTAAACCAACAGGTCGAGAGTTCGAGGCTCGGGAGTTCCACACTTCGGGCTTGAATATGGCTGGCTGACGACGGCTAATAAGCCAGAAATGGCCATTCCAGTCTCCCTTGTCTTTGTCGGTAATAGCATTCTGCCTATATATATATATATATATATATATATATATATATATATATATATGTAAATCAGAGATGTTATGCATTCCGAGTCGATATAATGAAAACAGGAAGAGGTTCTTCGGAAAAATCGAGTTGTA